GTGGCCTTCTCCTTGGTTAGCATAAAATGGAATGTTAGTGAGGATGATACAGATTTGGGTGAACTCCCTAGGTTGGTAGATGGCCTTAAAGTAATGCAGTAGTTCTATGTCGGGTGTAAAAACTACATGTTTCACTGTACTGTTGTGGATGATACAGTAGATTTTGTTAATATATTTTGCCAATCCTCCTCCCTTGTATTTGCCGCTGTCGATTGTTCGATCGGCATGGAAAAGGTTAAATTCGTCCAATGCCACTGCTGAATCTGGTACCGTTTCGTTAAGCCATGGTTCTGTCAGGCATATTAAAGAGCTTTCGCGAAATTGATAGAAATGCTTACAGCAACAATCCAGTTCATCCATCTTGTTACTCAGTGACCTAACATTTCCCAAAACAACAGGTGGAAGAAAGCCCGGCTGTCCTCTGTTTCTGCATTTTACATGAATGTCTCCCCTTCTGCCCCCGCTTACTTCGTCTCAGTCGTGCATCGGTCGCCATTTTTTTGTTGGCGTAAGTGACATTTCTTTATTTATAAATTTTATATATATACATATTTATAAATAAATTAGTTGTAATAAAGGCTACATGTGTGGCAAGCTGGGGGAGGGGAGCCTAAAACAATCTGACGTCACACGAAAAGCGGAATATTATTGTAAAGAATTTCACTTAATAACCCAAAATTATGGACATTTATTTTACATCATTCTTTTATACAACAAGTATAATTCTTTTATTTTTAAACTACGATCAATGAGAGAATCACTTCAAGTATGCGAACGCTGATATAGGGCTTCTGATAGAGTTACAGGGGGAGACATCATTATTGCATGTTTAGTGTTGAAATTACACAAAATGGACACATTTACTTGAATATTTAGTTTTAAACATAATTTATGGCTCTCACAGAGTTAATTTTCAAAATATGTGGTGTCCATTGCTCTCTCAGACCAAAAGGTTCCCGACCCCTAGTCTACACATATGAATTCAGAATATGTTATAATGATGTTATAGAGTAAAGAAAAAACCCTTTATTGATTGGACCAATTTTTTTGTTATCAACTTTAATTTTCAAAGCTTTAAAATCGGAAAAGAAAATAATCAAATGAATTCTCAAAAGAACAAGCAAGATGTCGGCTTTAAGTAATTGGCAGATTTAGAATTATTATTAGGCTAAAAATCAAATACACAAAATTTAACCTCTGTAATTTTAAAAGTGGAGGGCGCCATTTTGTCAATAAAATGACCATATCCAAATTTTTGGTGATTCCGGGCGTTACCAAGGTGCCAACATTACAGCTATATTATAAACTACTGGTATATATCATCTGTTTTTTTTAAAATAATTCCATTCAAGTACGATGTGGATTTGAAATGAGTAAGCAGGCCTAAGACTAAGCCTAAGCGATGGTGTTTTTAAGTGATGACTTACTTGATAAAATTTACTACTCTAAATTCTAAGTAATCTTAATTACAATTTAATCTTATTAGTCAAAGTACACAGTAAGAGTCTTAATCATAGGCCTTATGTCCTAGTCTAGACTCTAGACTAATGTCCTAGTCTAGACTCTAGACTAAGTGACATAAAGTCTAAGTAATATTATAAAGCTTAGCTGACTGAAAGACATTGAACAGCTTGCAGAATTTTTATGCTGATATTTGATTTTAAATCGATGACTTTGTGTATTTATAACCTTAAAAAGGTATGGTAAATGCAAAGTATGGATCTCATGTTTTCTCACCATGGCCGTTATTTTGGTTTACACGACTCGTGAAGTTACTGGTCGTGTCCAAAAAAAAAGTAGTGCAAACATGTGTGATAAAAAAAAGTGAGGGAGAAAAATGTGTTAATTGAACTACTTACCGAAAGATAGGAGAATAGGGAAATTAGCAAATTTACAAATTTACAAGGACAATTTTTTTGTTTTTTAAAAAGTAACTATTATCAGCCGTAAATCGATCCATAAATCTAAATTGAACCATAACTCTATCTCTAAAATTAACATGAACCCTAAATCTATCCCTTAAACTAACCTGGGTTTTGACCTTATCCCTAACCTGGGTTTTGCCCTTATCCCTAACCTGAGTTTTAACCTTATCCCTAACCTGGGTTTTGACCTTATCCCTAACCTGGGTTTTGACCCTATCCTACCCGGGGTTTTGACCCTATCCCTAACCTGTAATTTGACCCTAATCCTAACATGGGTATGACCATAACCTGAACTCCTTAAACCAATCCCTAAATATATCCTAAATATATCCTTAAACGTAACCCAAACCCTAAAACTAACCCTAAAGCCTCAAGTAAAAACATATGGAATTTACACACTATGGGAAGAAAACCACGAAAATTTTGAAAAATAAAAAATTGCCAAAAATAATTATAAAATAAAGAAATAATGAAAACCCAACTTACATTTTCATCGAATACTTTTTTTACACACTTCATTTCAGGTTCCACCGAAAATAATATCCCCTTAATGAATAAAATACAAGGCCTGCCATGAACAATTCGTTTCAAATATTGCGGAACAAATAAAATACGATAACTAGCAAACAAATAAAGATGAATCACCACTGGCGTGTTGAGGATGGGGTGGGCGATACGTAACACGCTTGTTGAACTTGCTGTCAACGAAATATTACTGAAATACTTATGCAACTGAGTATTATATGAGCGATACCTAGCGAGCTCATGTATGAAACCACAAGGAAACATGACAATGACTCCAAAAGATTTTGCACGGCATTTTTACAGCATTTGAGATATAAATTTGCAATTTTTGGACTCTTAAAATTCTAGGATGATTACTGTAGAATATTTGAGGAAATTTACGTACTTCCTGTCGAGAAGCCCCAACACCACCCCAACCACGGGCGCTAAATTTCTAAAAATCAACCCCCTACCCCTCAGAGATTACGCACGTAAGTTTAAACTCCTTTTAAACATTTGGTGATAACCTTTTAAAAAAATCGAATGTCAATCAAATTTAAAAGCTGATTAATTTATCTCGGTGACGGGCCACTATTTTAAAATCCTCTTTTCTTATTAGTGCCACCGTTATTTATGATTAAAATCCAGAGATAACCTTTTAAAAAAATCGAATGTCAATCAAATTTAAAAGCTGATTAATTTATCTCGGTGACGGGCCACTATTTTAAAATCCTCTTTTCTTATTAGTGCCACCGTTATTTATGATTAAAATCCAGACAGGTTCATTAAGTTATTCTATTTGAACTGTCAACAGGATCTATTCCACAATGTTAATTCAATGAGTTATATGTCTACATAATATCTGGCTCATTTTCAATAACGGCTGGTTCAGCTTCACCAACGGCTGGCTCAGTTCAACCATGTTTGGTCTTAAGCTCATTTTCGTTAACGGCTGACTCAGATTCATGTTTTGCTATTTTCATAAACGTCTGAATCATTGTTATCAACCTTTAAAATAAAAATAAAAATTAAGAATTACAAATAGTTGATTGCTGGCCAGCAAAGCGAGTCGTGTCTAAATCTAATAACATGCATATTTAATATCACTTAGTGCATGAAAAAGGCCCAATTCTTTACTTTGTACACTCAGTTGAATGGTAAAGCAAAAATAAGTTCATTGAAGAAGGGATAAAATATCAATTTTTTCTAATCTTTTTTAGTGACAATTATTCGGTGTCGAAATAGAGATATATAACAGTCTTCGGAAAAAGCATCAATATTCCCGCCATCCAAAATCTTCTGTATATACCATCTTTATCTTTCACCCATCCTACATAAGCAGACCTGTTTACTCTCTATTCCTAAAATCGTACAATGTCATCACATTATTGTTCAGTAACATCAATATTCCCGCCATCCAAAATCTTCTGTATATACCATCTTTATCTTTCACCCATCCTACATAAGCAGACCTGTTTACTCTCTATTCCTAAAATCGTACAATGTCATCACATTATTGTTCAGTACCTTATATTTATAGTAAAAATAAACATACATTTTATATAATGTTTACCCTCAAAATCGTACATTGTACGCCAAAATCATTAGAGTAAACAGGTCTGCATAGGGCATACTCTCATGATGTTTGCCAGCCAGGGGTTATCTATTCTTGTATATAGACTTACTCAGAGTTATTGTTTTACTTAAGCATTCCTCAGAGTTGTTCTTCAGCTCAGGCATTACTCAGCGTTGTATTAAGCTTACGTCCTTATTTCTTGGCTACCTCGTCTCTGTCTTCCAGGCCATCTTATACACCACATTATAACTACAAAAGTACCTTGCACATATCAACACGGTTACCTTAGATCTGCCGCTATCTGCAAAGTTACCTTATGTGAAATCCCTATCTAAAAGGCTACGTTATGCAATGTCCCATTATCTACACGGCTACCCTATCCCCAGTCCCCTATCTACAAGGCTTCCCTATCCCCAGTCCCCTATCTACAAGACTACCTTACCCCAACTCACAAATCTACAAGACTACGCTATCCAATGTCCCATTATCTACAAGGCTACCTTATCCCCAGTCCCCTATCTACAAGGCTACCCTATCCCCAGTCCCCTATCTACAGGGCTACCCCATCCCCAATCCCCTATCTACAAGACTACCTTATCCCAACTCCCAATCTACAAGGCTACGTTATCCCATGTCCACCCTATCTAAAAGGCTACCTTATTCCCCCTATTTACGAGGCTGCCTTACTCCAGCAGCATATCTACAATGCTACTACACTAGACACTATTTAAAAGGCTACTGAACCCAAGCAATCTACCAGGCTACCAACCAAAGCGATCTATAAACCTACCCCAACAAAGCTTTTCCTCATAAATAATGTTTAACCATCCGATTATGATGAAAATGATTTATTTATTATTTATAAAATGTATTTAAAATTACAAAACTAAAATTTACCCTAAGATTTTTAGAACCATTGATTCATACACTATTCATCCAATCATAATCGTCCACCTCCAGATGTCTGTGATACTCAGGCCTCAAGTATGTTTATAAATTTATAGGTTGCAGTCTTCTGAAATTAACACCAAAAGAAATCAGAATGTTGTTTGTGGTTTTCTTCAGTCTTATCATCAGCAATGAAGCACAGGAAGAAAAGAGTAAAGTTTATTTTAATTTATACATTTATTGTTCTAATGTGACTAACTTGAAACTATGACCTTAATATTAAGTTATATCATTATTAATACCTTTTTAAACTCAAAACGTGTTATGCAATGACTAAGTGAGAAATTGTGACCTAGGATAATCTACTACAGAAAATTAAGTTAAGATAGTCCATTAAAGTCCTTTAAAGCTAGGCTAGTCTATAAATACCTTAGGATAGTATAGTCCATTAGATTTATTAAGATAGGAAAGTCCATTACATTCTATTAAGAAAGGATAGTCCATTAGAGTCCTTTATGATAGGATAGCTCATTAGAGATATTAAGATGGCATAGTACATTTGTGTCATTTAATAAAGTATAGTTTATTAGAGTCATTTATGATAAAATAGTACATTAAAGTTATTAAGATGGGATTGTACAATGGAATCATATAATATGTGATAGTCCGCAAAAGCATTGCTGCTGGCAATGTAGACACAGGTTTTGCCTCTACACGGCGCCGACCTTTCAGCGGACCTCAAGTCCAAGCTCATTCTGGTTCAACAGGATGAGTTGGAAAAAACGACATAAACCTAACCTCCCAAAAATTTCTTCGAATACCACTAAGGTACACTTTAAAAAAGGCAAAGGCATTTTCCGGAGGTAAACTTGGCACAGTACGAAACTTAGACCGAAGACAAACGTTCAGACCGTACAGGAACAAAAATTCTGAAGGCGCTGGTTGATAAATGAGCTGAAAAAAAATTCTGACAAAATGAAACATGCATAATCATTAGGGAAAATAAAAACGTAAAAATTACCCGTTTAAACATTGCCTGTAAAACCTGGACAACTGGCGTCTCGCCAAAGGCGTGGCAATGAGCAGTGATTGTCCCAATTCCCAAAGAAGATAAACCAAGTGATCAACCGTCGAGCTAGTGGCGTACATTGAATACATGTCACCAATTATTGCCCACCCCGAGCATACATCTGTTACATAATGTTCGTAAAAGAACAAACTAATAAAAGTTGCACGAAGCTAGATGTGCCCTTGCGTCTTGGTTTAAATCCTAAAAAATTATGGCAAATTTGGTATGTTGTAATTTCACTAACAAGAAAATGTTGAACTTCGTAATGATTTAAATTAAGAATGTATAGGTTAGCGCGTCTTCATGACTTACATGAGGTATAGGTTCGAATGAAATAGTTGGGGAATGAGGAGTGGGTCATTCCAAACGCTGGTCGAATGGACATTGTGTAGTCAGCCAAGAAGGGCAGCTACTCTTGGGGAAAAGGTAAAACGAAAATATAATTAGCTTCTGATGGATTTTTTTGCTATTTTTTTAATTTATTTTTCATTTAAATAATTTAACTATGGAAACTATTTAGCGTTGACATGTGTATGACGTTTCTTTGTTAATTAGTTTACCATGACACACAACAAGACAAATTCATGATGAATTCACACAATAAAGATTATGGTCTCAAGGCTAAAATTTTTCCTTATTTCATTGGTCGCTGAATTTTTTTAAAATGTAAAGTACGCTGGAACGAAAATCTAAAACTAAAAAATAACACTGATATCGTACTGATAAAGGCTTTTACCGAAAAAAATTACATTTGACACTTGTTTTATCATAAATCTTAAGATTTATTTGTTTTATTTACACGAATTCTTTGTTCAACTGACCATTTACGAAACATTCAAATGATCAACTTAGAAAAAAAAAGGAAAACTTTCCCAGTCTTGATTTGATACCTGATTTACGTCTCTGGAATCTCTAAGACAACCCTGGCTGTGTATAGACCATATGGACCTACACATTGGTCACTAATTCATGTGTCACAGAACTCTATTTTTTTGTATTGGAAGTGTCACGCTTGAATTATGTTACACGTCTACAGCCACTTCTGACAAATATTCACAAATACCAAGCTTGTTATCTTCAGCAGCTTAGCGTGGAATGACTTACAGCTCAAAATTAAAATTATCAGATCAATAAATCTGAGTGAAAATCAATCAAAACGTCATATGAACTCCATTATCAAGAGTATTTATATAAATATTAATTACTGATGCCATATGTTACGCTATTCGCATGTAAGGATGTTACATTTTGTTAAATGTACTTATCATTAGTTTCATGATTTTAATTTAAGTCAAGTTATATTTTACCTGTAAATTTGTACAATTTTTCAATGGGCATGATTATTTCATTGATGTTGTTAATAATCAAACTATTTTCTATCCCAAAGGATGCACAAGAATTGTTTGTGGGATAGACAACCTAGATGTTCCAAAAAATTTTATTACTAAAGAATTTCCCAAAGATTATTGCACCCATGCTATCTATTATGCCGCGGGCATTGTAGGAAATAACTTGACAAATATGTTCAGCAATGAATTGTCAAAAGACAGAGTAAGAGGCTTGTAAGTACGAAATAACTACTCTTTTCTTTGTAAAATCATACTCACTTCTCATATGTCTGTATCAGGGAATGGGTACATCATTAGGTTATATCATTCTGTAAATCGTTAAGGAACTTTATATCATAAATGGCAATGGATTAACTCATAAATAATATGTGACATGACATTATAGACGTTGATCACCAAATTGGATTTATCACAATGAGAAAATTGCTATATTTTAATATCGACTAGAAGCTGTGCCAAGTTTTTGTAAAGCTATAAAAAAGAACTTGATGTTTGTATTCAAACAATTTTTATATGGGATAATTTAATCCTAGGAGCATTTTTAAGTGTCCGGGAGCAGTGTACCTATAACTTCCCAAAGTTGGCAATGTGGCAAACCAAAGCCAGTTTGACCCTGGTGCCCCCACTAAATATAAACGGAGTTAATCTCAGGCTACTCCGAACCCTGGGTGTGTGCTTTTGGTCAGGCTACGCAAAACCCTTAGTGTATGCTTTTGGTCAAACTACGCCGAACCCTGGGTGTATGCTTTTGGTCAGACTTCGCCGAACCCTAAGTGTATGCTTTTGGTCAGACTTCGCCGAACCCTGGGTGTGTGCTTTTGGTCAGACTTCGCCGAACCCTGGGTGTATGCTTTTGGTCAGACTTCGCCAAACCTTAAGTGTATGCTTTTGGTCAAACTACGCCGAACCCTGGGTGTGTGCTTTTGGTCAGACTTCGCCAAACACTAAGTGTTTGCTTTTGGTCAGACTTCGCTGAACCCTAAGTGTATGCTCTTGGTCAAACTACGCCGAACTCTGGGTGTATGCTTTTGGTAAGGCTACGCCGAACCCTTAAGTGAATGCGTTTGGTCAAATCTTAATTTCCTCTGCCATAATCAAGGTATGCCATTGTCCATGGGCTAAATTTTCGGTTTACGCATTTGTCAGTCTGCGCTGTTTTCTGTGTGCGCTAATATCGGTGTGCGCATTTTTCCTGTGCGCAGCAAGGGCTTTGTTGAGCTATATGTTCGCGTTTATTGTGTACGCATTTATCTTGTGCGCGTATTTCTGGTCACCCAAAGTATACTTTTGGTCAAATAGTAGTTTTGTCCCTTGATTATAAATAGAAAAATATAAACACATTTTTTTCAAAATTAAAGAGAAAATAAAATAATTATATAAAGGTTATGTAAAGAAAACCTTCATGATTTCTAATATCCATTGGTTTATTTTTCTATGTACAAAAATGCTGGTAGTGTCACTTTGATATGAGATTGGAGAAGTGTTGTTAAATCTTTGGTGAGGGGTCTAAGCCCCTCCTAAGAAACTTTTTGAAGTGAATTTTTGCTATCCAAAGATCAACAGATGTTGAAGTTTCTCTTACCATGTTTTTCAAAAATAATTTTTATATCAATTATTAATTTGTTTAACTAAGCCCATGTCATTAACAAATAAAAAATAAAATCATTTGGTCCAAACAACATACAGTACGCTGAGGTGCAAAATGGCATAATAAAAATTTAGTGACATAATTGTAAATACTGACCAAAAATGAATCGAATTCATTATACATATGGAACAAAATATGTACTGACATTATTGTACATATTGAACAAAAATGAATTGAAATCAGTATACATCTTGAAAAAATGTACTGACATATTTGTACATATTGAACACACATGTACTGACATCATTAGACATATTGAATACAAATATACTCACATCATAATACATATTGAACACACATGTACTGACATCATTAGACATATTGAATACAAATATACTGACATCATAATTCATATGGAACACAAATGTACTGACATCATTAGACATATTGAATACAAATATACTGACATATTAATACATATTGAACACAAATGTACTGGCATTATTATACATATTGAACACACATTTACTGACATCATAATCCATATAATGGAAAAAAATGTTCTTTCTTCATTGTACATATTGATCACAAATGTTTTTAACTTTTTTATATATATATTAATAAAAAAATTTAAGTAAAATCATTATACGTATTGAACAAAAATGTAATTACATAATTTTAATTATTAAACAAACATGTATTGACATCAGTAAGGAACACAGAACACAAACTGCTCGGTCTAATTGCATTTCATTATAGGGAAACGAACCACACTTAAATTTTTCACACATGTAACCAGTCCAAATGCATGCTCTATTTAGAAGTCAAGGCTGATGCTATAAAAATGAGGTCAAGCGATCAATGGTCAGAAAAACGCCATTTTTATCACGATGTAACGCCAATTTATGTGTTTGGTAACTTTCGTGGTAGTGTGACGAAGTCGAGCTAACCTATAAATGTAAATGTACTCGCGATGACCTAATTAGAACCCCCTTCTCCTCCTTTTGAGGTCAGGACGAGCTATTTTCCCCAATTACCGTCACCCCACCTGGAAAGCCACTGAACTTACTGATATGTTGACCAGCGAACTGAACTACGCAGTAGAAACGCCAATCCCCCCCCCCCCCCTTTTTGTTCGCCTCGCATGGGGTGAGCGATTATTGAAAGAATATCACGCTTCGGAATATTAAGTTCATTGAATTCAGAGATCACGTCGTAGTGATTATCCAATAAGCAATGAGGATAGAATCACTAAAAAGGACGTTGCAAAAGTTAGAAGTTTTCTTTTTCAAGATCGACTCTTAAGTTAGCACTGTCAACTTAGAGTGCCTTTTAAACCCGGCTTTCTAAAACCTACCTGGTTGCTAGATCGCCGTAATGCTGCAGTACAGTCAACTGCGCCTTAGCAGCTGGTTTGAGAAATCTGTTTCCTGAGGCCTGAGTCCACGAACCCCGCCCAGCAACCCCTCTGGAAGACCAATCCATCACCCGCAAGGATATGATCGCATGCTGATGGGACTTTACTCACCCGAGAAATCCTCACATACACCTACCACAGCGTACTGGGGAAGAGGTATCCCAGAAGGTTCAGTTGTGACTGGTATCATTCACTTTCCTGAACGCCTTAAAAAGCGCTGATCCCTGAAAAGCCACAAGGTACATTGGATCAAGAGTCCACTTCGACATTGAATGGATCTCTGTATTGTACTGCCGTAGCATCTATTTTCGTGAACTTACTGAGAAGTGCTGAGCCCTGAAAAGCCACGAAGTAAAGAATTGGAGAATTCACTGCCACCATTGAATTGATCCCATTTTATCACAATGTTATTTCTACCTTTACGTGAACGCCCTGAAAAGTGAAGAAGGATAGGACCCGATCATCCACATCCACATTAAAGTGATCTCATTATTAAATGATCTTACCAGATCATCAGAGCTAATTCATGAAGTCCTCAAATACACCCACCACAGCGTACTGGGGAAGATGAATCCCAGAAGGTACAGTTGTTATTGGTATCATACACTTTCCTGAACGCCATGAGAAGCGCTGATTACTGAGAAGCGACGCAGTAAAGAATCGGAGGTTCCACCTCCACGTTGAAGTGAAACTACCTTTGATTGATCAAGCCAGATCATCAGAACGATTGACTGATAGTTAAGTTTGATCGCGAACGATTGTAATACAAAGCAAAGCGACTGTTATGATGAGATAGATGAGTAAAGTAATTATGTCCTTTAGTTCATGAAATCGATATAACAAAATACCCCTAGACACATGCAGCTGCGAAACTCATCAAAGAGTTGTTCCACTCCAAACCCCTTTAATACAAAAGTCATTTAACCACATATAGGACGCTAAATAAAGAACATTTCTGAAAAAATAAAGCTTTCCATTGATATCAAATAGGATGCAGTCAGGAGATAATAAGTAGCCTACCTGAATCGAATCAGTAAAAGTTAAAAACATTTTAAAAATGACTTTTTACTTAATAATAGGATTTACACAATAATTTTTGCTCACTTTTCTTATATCTTTAATAATTTATTTAAATCATTAAAAAACTTTTTGAAACCAAATACATATCAATATACTAGAAATACTTTAGCTCTCTTCATCACTAGACCTGCGCCTTAACATTTAAGGACGATTGTCATACAGCTATGTCTTTTACATACTGTTAGCTATCTCCCTGTGGCATGGGCCTAGGGAGCCGCTCAACAAACTCTTGCCAGAAGAGTATAGGTATAGGTATTGGTCTAGGTCAAGAAGGAACACTTATAGTTATAGCTAGTGGTACATATGGAGGTATATGTATAGTTCCCTATAGGTAATTTTACAGGAGGAGGTATAGATGTAGGAAGAGCACGAATAGGTATTTGTATAGGTAGTGGTACAGGTGTAAAAAGAGCACGAAAAGATATATGTATAGGTAGTGGTACAGGTGTAGGAAGAGCACGTTTAGTTATAGGTAGTGGTAGAGGAGAAGGGATAATTATATGAAGACGTTTAGATATTATAAAGATCATATGGAGTGATGATGTTACTTGTAGTTATTACTTATATTATGTATTCACCATCACAGATGTCCATGATTATATAACGAAGCACGATGGCCAAAACTAAGAGTTTGCATCACAACATTTATTTACTGATTAAAGTACACCATATGAAATAATACCTCCATAAATCAGAGCAAATATAATTGTCCTAACTTCTTCCACTTCACATTTGTTGAATCAACATTAAGATGCTGTATTATAAAAAAGTAATTATAGCAAGTGCTAATCAAGAAATATAATCAAACCGCCATTCATCCGGGTCCTTCACTGTCTAATCAATAACTGCCAAACTTCCTGTCGTTTCTACTTAACAAAACAATACATTCCGCCGAAAAAGCATTAAGATCTAAATATTTTATCTGTGAAAGATATAATAAGAGAGTGAGATATATACACGCGCACAAATAGACGCAGAGAAATGGGAATGCCTTATTCTAACGTTTAAACCATTCGGTCACCCAGCTTGGTGAGTTCACTTGCGTAATATCTCATTTCTCTCGCACAGATTTTTTTTTTTTTTAAACCAAGTTGAACTTTGAACCGACCCTGGCACACATGACACACATGACTAATTTTAGAACACGTGTCACAACTGTACAAAAACAAAACAATCATTTCAATTAGCTTTGATACTCGCTATATATCCGTGTGGATATAACTTAATGACTTCATTTTGTATTCAGTTACCTATAACTAGCATTACAAATACCTTAACCATGACAAGTTCCATACGGTAACGTTTTAGTTATGTCAGAGTTAGCCCTCTACAAAAATCACTGGCACATAAAAAGGATTTATATTTTAAATGCTATCCCAATGCAATCGGTTTAAATAATTAAAATAGGCCATAATTCTACATCTATTAATTCAAGTCAAAACGATTGCGTTGTCTCAGTGGCGTCGCTAGTGGGGTGCGGAAAGCACCGGGTGACACCATCTCAGGGGTGACACTAAATTGAAAAAATTCATATTTACAGAAAAACAACTTTTCGGTCTAATTAAACCTCATAAAAGAATAACCGATCACATGTAAATTTCCCACACAGTTTACCAATCCACATGCGTGCTTTATTAAAAGTTCAAGGTTGATGCCTCATAAATGGGGTTACCCTATAATTAGGTCAGAAAAACACTGTTCTCAACAGGAATGAAGTGTTTGTTAACTTTCGTAAGTGAAAGGAAGCTATATTGATCTACATTCTGAGAAATAAAGATTTCCGTTGATACCAAATACGATCTGGTCGAGCGATTCTCAGTACATAAATCAAATCTGTAAAAACTCAACACGTTAAAAAATTACACTTTACCCACTTAAAGTGTAAACAAAATAATATTTTTAGAAGATTTTAATAACTTTTGTTTGAATGTAAAAAATGGTTTTTGAATCAAAATATAATAAAACTAAGAAATACTCAAAACTAAATGTTATCGCCGATTAGCCACTCACACTTTGACACTCCCCCTTTAACCGTTAGCACTTTTGAAATACAGCACAAGGTCATTTACGTGCTGTCTGTGATTTCACGTTTATCTGCTTCATTTTCACATCGGCTCATCTACTTACGGAAGTTAATCTTATACAGCAGTATCTGCAAACCAAAGGCTTTACTCTTAACAAAGTGGTGACCAACCTAGAGATTTTAAGATTGTTTTTTCCAAGAAAAGGGCTGTAACTTGGTGGAACATGCTATTGAAAATGCACTTTTAAAATAAGACAAATTATGGCATTTCTGTAAAAAGAAGATTAAGGTTTAAGAAGAGAATTGCAGGAGAACAGTTTATTGATATCGGACTTTCAATGGCTAAAGAAAACAAAATGGAGATGCTGGAATGTATTGATAGCTTTTCTTCTGAACCCAAGAACTGATCATATATAATAAAGAAATTAGCAGATATTTCTGGGCTGTTCAACCGACGAGTCTACTATCAGCTTGTGAAGAAGAGTTATTGATGTCCACTCCAAAATTAAACTCTTTCTATGTTGAATTATCAGAAGATGAAAAAAAAAATTATTAAGGCTTAGAATACAGCAAAACGCAGCTGATATTGAATTTCACAAAGTCATGGATTGGTCAGCATTTGATGTATTTAAATTCAGAGCTAAATGAGACTTCTTAGAATCTTTTCCAGTACTCTCGCTAAGCCTTCAATTGTTTGTTACGATATGTATGTATGTGGCTGCATGTAATGAAAGCTTTTCAAAATAAGGCTTATCAGGAACTAGTTACGAACCACCATGGGACAGTAAAGGCTTTGAAATCTGGCTCTCTTATCAATTAAAATAGGTACTGTGAATGATATTGATTTTGTTTAGGTGATTGACTTATTTGAAGCTTTGAAATCCAGAAAAAAGAAAAATATTAATACAGTAAATTTAATGTAACAAGAACGATAACGTAACACTGTTACAGTTCTGTTATTGTGGACTAGCGGACTGGACCGTACCGATAGCCAGTCAAGGTAACAGCGTGCATGCGCAGAGAGACTGGAGAGAGTGTGTGTGTTTATGAACCGTGTTCCGGATGCAAGCAGAAAGTCAACACCTAATTGAGAACTTGTATTTATGTATATATATGTTTATGTTACTGGTTTGAAATAAAAACAATGAAAACATAACAAAATGGTTGCCAGTATAAACAAAACAGTGAGGTATCGACCAGCATCAACAACACAGTATGATGGTCTGTATTAACTCAATACAAAACTCAGTACAACTCAGTACAACAGAGTGATAGTTTGATACGCACGAGTGAGTTCACGGGACGGAGGAAGTAAATACACAATGGAGTCAAATCTGAGCCAAGCTGACATTATCCAGAAGCTCATACAGCAGAACGAGCTACTTTTGAAACTAGCAACAGGTAATACGGCTACTAATATGAAGTTTACACATTTCAATAGTAGCTACTACAAGTTAACTTGGTGTTGGCAAATAATGAAACAAAGGAAAGGCAGGCACACATTTTAATAAGCCAGACGCCAGAGCTGCATAAAATGTTATCAACCATCTTACAACAAAAAGAACCACCACAAAATGTAAATGACTTGAACAAAAAAGAAATATATAGAATAATGATGGATCAATTTGATCCCACCACATTTGTAATCAGAGAAAGGTTCAAATTTTGGTCTTATTCTAGAAGAAAACTGGGGCAAACAATCAAAGAATTGGCAGCTAGGATCACACAGGATGCAGCGACTTGTGAGTTTAGTAATATCAAAAATCCTCTAGATGAAGCTTTACGAACAAGATTCATGTGCTCTGTAAAGAATGGGGCGTATTGAAAATTTTGTTTAGGATGAAGGACACTGAAGTGTCATTCAACAAGGCAGTTGAAATAGCTGTTGAAACAGATGAGGAAGAGAAATGTGCCAAAGAAACAGTCCAGGAAGAAACGCCTATCAATAAAATTCAGACACAAAGAAAGAAGCAACATCAGACGGCAGAGAAATTTTCTCAATCTCAAAGACATGAATTTCCGAGTGGAACTTGTGGCAGGTGTGGAGTAAGAGGTCATAAAGGAAATGTCTGCAGGTACAAAGTCGTGATCTGCCGCTTTTGCCACAAAAGAGGACATCTAGAAAGAGTTTGTCTAAATTAGAAAGAGAATGCTCCCAAACAGAAACCGATTCATCTCAAAAGAATAAGAAGGCAAAAGCAAATAAAAACTATCCCGCCCATTATTCAGGAACTCATTTTAGAAGGAAAGAGGTTTGCATTTGAAATTGACACTGGAGCCGGAGAAACTTTTATGTGTGAATCTATTTGGCGAAAGCTGGGACAACGCACATTGAGTCCAGTATCGGTCAAGTACGAGTCAGCAACTGGTCACCTACATAAAGTTTTGGGTAGTGTACAGATAAAGGCTGATGCAGGGGAAATAACTACACATTTGTTATTTGTAATAGTGAAAAACAACAACGTAAATTTGTTGGGAAGAACGGCAATAAAGAACCTCAGGATTTCAATAGACGCACTGTTTCAAACAAGGACAAATCACATTGCTAATCAAAACTCATTGATTAAAGCTCGTGAAAAAATCCGTAAGTCAACTGAACATTGCAATGCGGAGCAATAAAGAACCTCAGGATTTCAATAGACGCACTGTTTCAAACAAGGACAAATCACATTGCTAATCAAAACTCATTGATTAAAGCTCGTGAAAAAATCCGTAAGTCAACTGAACATTGCAATGCGGATGCTCTTAGTCGTCTACCCTCAGGGCCTGATGACAATTTTGATGTGGAAGAAAGTGAAGCAGACATGGATGCTGTATGTATGATCAAACAAATCAGTTTACAGATCAGACCAACAGACCCAGGAGTCCTTGCTAAAGAGTCACTTAAAGATTATACTGTGTCTACAGTAATGAGATATTGTCAAGAGGGATGGCCTTCCTCTATAAACAAAGAACACTTGAACAAGGAGTCAGCTAATATAGCAGCTTTTAAAAATATTCAAGACTCACTCTCCGTGGAGTCGAATTGTCTATTTTATGGTTCGAGAATTGTGGTACCAAAAATACTACAAGCTCAAGTTCTCCAAATCCTGCATACAGGACATTTTGGAATTGAGCAGATGAAAAAGTTAGCAAGATTATCTGTATATTGGCCCGGACTTGATACTCAAATCATGGAGATAGGTCGAACACGCCAAGCATGTGCAGAACACGCCAGAAACCAAAACAAAGCAAGTATCCACCCATGGATGATGCCAGAAAAACCATGGAGTCGAGTGCATATCGATCATGCCATTAACTGTAAGGGATCTCATTGGCTGGTGGTGATAGATGCTTATTCAAAGTACCCGTGTATCCACAGGACAGCATCTACATCGACCAAAGCTATCATTGATCTTCTGGAGCAAGATTTTGTTCATTTCGGCTATCCACACACCGTAGTCAGTGACAATGCTACTTGCTTCATCTCAGAAGAATTTCAGCATTGGTGTAAGGAGAAGGGTATTGTTCATCTTGCAGGTGCTCCCTATCAGCCTGCTACAAATGGAGCTGCCGAACGACTGATTCAAAGTTTCAAGAGTTCACTAAAGAAATCCTCATTACCTTTAAAGGAATCTCTACAAGACTTTCTGCGTCAGTATCGTAGGACACCATTGGCAAATGGATTATCACCTAGCCAACTGCTGAATAATCGGCAAATAAGTACACTTATTGATACCCTAGTTCCCTCTCCTGCCCATCGAGCACAAGGACAGCATCTTAAAGAAATAGCCGTCCGCCATGGGACAAAAAGAAGTACTAGTCGAACATTTAACCGGGGAGATCCATGTTCCGTCAGAGTATATGGAACAGAAACAGACTCTAAACCACGATGGGCTCCCGGTACAATCATCCAAGTTATGGGTCCACGTCTCTTCAAGGTAAAGATTTATCCAAATGGTCCCATTTGGAAGAGACATTTAGACCAACTTCGCCCCAGGTACGGAGCAGAAGAAGATTCAGAACCAGGTTTGGATATAATGACAGAAAGTCTTTATCCAACAGCTCAGGCAGCCCTGAGTCATCAACCGTCTACACATCCAACAACTCCAAGTCAGCCTAAGAAGAAGATTAACACTCGACATCCAAGACCTTCAGACTATGTCATTCCCAGAAGATCTCAAAGACAACGGCGAGCACCATTGGTACCGGACTTGTAATTGTTCGGGGAGGTGTAATGATGGACTAGCGGACTGGACCGTACCGATAGCCTGTCAAGGAAACAGCGCGCATGCGCAGAGAGACTGGACACAGAGAGTGTGTGTGTGTTTATGAACCGTGTTCCGGATGCAAGCAGAAAGTCAACACCTAATTGAGAACTTGTATTTATGTATATATATGTTTATGTTACTGGTTTGAAATTAAAACAATGAAAACATAACAAGTTCTTAAATACATCTACCTCTTGAAAATCAATTATTATTTTTTATATTTCTTTTGATTGCTATGCTACGGACTTATTTTAACATGGAGAACACCATCGTGGCAGTCGGGAGGGGAGATGACTCCATGAATTTACCGCACCGAGTGACACCGAGTGACACCGAGCCTAGCTACGCACTACGTCAAGCTATCGAGCTGATATTTAGCACATAGACTCGTTGCCAATGAAAACACATTCTATTAAATTATTACTGTCCCATCCCCAAACCTCAAACCGCAAAGGTCAGCGTTACCTGTTTTTTCAAGGGAAACATGAAGGAAATCCCCTTAAACACGCCAAATAAGATTTTAAAAAAAACAAAAAAAATATCAGTAAATGCGTTTGGTGCGTAATACTTCCTTTGTTTTTCTGAAATAGTTTGTGTAATAAATCTGTTTGTACAAAAGCGGGCGGGTCAATAAATGTAAAAATATTTCAGGGGCGTGAACAAAAATGTGCGGTTTCGAGTCTTGAGGGGGAAAGGTGAGCACTAATTGTGATTCTTATAATTGCATTACTTGTATGCATGTTTTGTCACCTTTTCAGCCCTAACCCGCCCATTGCTAAATATTACATTTTACGAAGGATTCATATAAAAAAAATATGTGTGCGTTTAATTTGTTAAAAAAAAAAACAAAAAAAAAAAAACAAAAAAAATTTAGGTTATTGTTTTATACGGGTTTTCTAAGGTTGGGGGGGGGGGTGGATTTATATAGCCCCAAAATAGAGATGGCTGAAAAAAAGAATGAATATAAATATCAATTCAATAAATTCATCCTCAAAGGATTTTATGTAATTCATTATAGTTGGAAATAAGGTTGGGGGGGGGGGTGGATTTATATAGCCCCAAAATAGAGATGGCTGAAAAAAAGAATGAATATAAATATCAATTCAATAAATTCATCCTCAAAGGATTTTATGTAATTCATTATAGTTGGAAAGGATGTGGAGATGACTCCACTTCATAAATTAGATACGGTACATCATAAATAAGATACATCATAAATAAGATACATTTTAGATAAGATGTATTATAGTTATGATGCTTGATGGACAAGATACATCTTAGACAAGATACATCATAGGCATAATGCATCTTAGACAAGATACATTTTAGACAAGATACATCATAGACAAGATACATATTATAGACAAGTTACATCAACGATTAGTTACATCACTGACAAGATACTTACATCATAGGAAAGTTGCATCGTAGATAAGATTCGTCAAGACAAAATATTGATTAAACTCGTATGATTATTATTATTATATCTTACTTCCGGACAAGGTATGCCAAAACGGCTGATCTCAAGAAGAGAAATAAAGATTTAAAAATTCTCCTTAGTGTACCAGTACCATGGTCTGCACCCAAGCCTTTCGCTGCAATCGTGGCTAGAGAAGACAGTCGAAATGAATTTATCTCGAATGCCATCACTTACTTAAGAAAACATAAATTCGATGGCCTTCATATTGATTGGTGGTATCCAAATAAAGATGGAGTTACAGAGGAAAAAAATCATTTGACTGCTTTCCTGAAGGTATGGGTAAAATCTATAATATTAATTTTTCTTTTAATATGATTGCTTCCATTGCCCGTTAGCATGCAACATATAAATGTCGATAAGTACAATGAATGACATCTTTAAAAAAAATATAATGCAAATTCGATCGGTACGTAATATTTTCTTTTCATTTACGGAAATAGAAATGGTCTCAATTTAAATATGGCGTAGTAAAAAATTAGGTTTAAAAGTAGCTAGAATATAAGATTATTAATATAGAAATAATAATTGTGCAGTGGCGTATCATGGGGAGGGGGGAAAGTGTGTATAAAAAATGTGGATTCTTACATGTGCATTACTAATACTTGCGTTCATATTTTGTCATGTACTTTAGTAAATAGGAATTTTATGCAATGCTGCCACCGATGTTTAGCAATTAATAAGTGATGAAATATTATTTCACAAGCTTATTTTGTGTATTTTAATGAATCTTTGGACTCTGCCATTTCATGGTAGAATATGGGCTTTAGATTCAGTGAAAATTTAAGGACATATTTTTTGAGTGATAACATTATTATTTTAAAAATACTGCAATATTAAATTGTCAATGTTGTTCCAACAACATTTAGATAACGTCACTGTATTGAAATGTTTCTTGAACAAAACCACTATCCATATCTACATCAATTAATGTAACTGCACAGAACCACCATCAACGTATACCTGAATTGATATGCCTGCACAGAACCACCTTTCACTTATTCTTGAATTGATATGCCTGCAAAGAACCACAATCCACGTATACATAAAGTGGATATACCTGCACAGAACCACCATGCACATGTACATGAATTTGATATACCTGCACAGAACCACTGTCCACTTATACACGAATGTATATACCTACACATAACCACTGTCCACTTATACACGAATGTATTTACCTGCACAGAACCACTGTCCACTTATACACGAATGTATATACCTACACAGAACCACTGTCCACTTATACGCGAATGTATTTACCTGCACAGAACCACTGTCCACTTATACACGAATGTATTTACCTGCATTGAACATGGTGCATTTCGTCAAAATTACTTCAAATGTTATTTTAAACTGTAAATGTAACAGTAAATATCACTGCGTTATTTTACAAATCCGTTCTTTTAAATTACGTTTCAAATTTAAAAAAAAAAATTACTAGTAAATTTATACTGATCATCAACTTAGCGATTGGTTTTCGACGCGCAATGGTTTTATTTTTTTTTCGATTTTTACGAATGATTTTGCAGGAGGCGTCTGAGGCGTTTCAAAATAATTCGATAGAAACTGGAAGATCAAGACTCCTACTGAGCGTAATTGGTGACCCTTTTCAAGTTGGCTATTACGAGGTCTCCAAAATTGCAAGGTATTTTATGTTTAAGTATTGCCAAGTGATTGATAAACTTTCATAAAGGGAAAAGGGAAAGGGGGGGGGGGGAGAGGTTAAAATGGACAGCTTTTATTTTGCACTCAAAGAATTATGTATTAATGTTTAAATTTGTTGGATAGAAGTATAATTTAAATTGATTGTTGTAGTTTTAACACTATGGAAATGTTATTTCGTTATTGCAATTTTCCCCAAATTATCTTCATTCAGAAAACAAATTTGATAGTTCTGATAATTTCTGAGCCATTAACTTAAATAGAATTTTCAAACTAGCAGGATAACTTGCTTTAATTTATTAAAAAGGCAATTTATGAATACAGAATTCTAAATAATTTTAAAAATATTTTATACAAAATAGGTATGTGGACATGATGAACATTGTAGGCTTTAGGTTCTTTGGTTCCTGGAACTCACACATAAGTCATCACAGTCCTCTATACGGAGACGGCAGCAGCGTGGTAAAGAAATGACGTCATATATTTTCACTTGTTTATTGAATACTCTCATTCCAAAAGGAAATGTAAAATACCTTTGTTATTTCAAATATAAGATGTTTTCTGCTCATAATGCTTAAGATTTAAACTCAACACATATTTAAAAAAGTGCGTAATGCTTTAATGGTCTGGCTTTAATAGGTGTTTTAGGATCAATTTACAATCCCGAGTGTTTTTCACCATTTTCTTTACGAATGGTTACATGTTTGATTTACAAAAAAAAACATATGTTAATAAGTAATTAAAAAATTTAATTATAATCATTCAAAAAATTAATATGAAAAAATATGTGTTTAGTTGCAGGGACGTCATTTGGGTAGGGCAGGGCAATTGCCCCCCACCCCCACACCGTGATTTTGCATGTATTATTTAAATTGCTATGTACTGTGACGCCTCCAGTAATAAGTAACTTAACAAGCGACCAGGATTTGGTTTTGCCACCCCCCCCACCCACCTTTTGCAAAAACTTGATGTGACGCCACTGTTTAGCTGTACTGCAATATGTGTTTAGCTATTTGAAATTAAATGTGTTTAGTGACATAACATTATGTGTTTAGCTATTTGAAATTAAATGTGTTTAGTGGCATAACATTATGTGTTTAGCTATTTGAAATTAAATTCTTTTAGTGGCATAACATTATGTGTTTAGCTATTTGAAATTAAATGTGTTTAGTGGCATAACATTATGTGTTTAGCTATTTGAAATTAAATGTGTTTAGTGGCATAACATTATGTGTTTAGCTATTTGAAATTAAATGTGTTTAGTGCCATAGCATTATGTGTTAAGCTGTATGAAAATATATATTGTATATATTCAACTGTGTTTAGCTTTTTGACAATATAAATTGTATGTATGAAACTGTTAGTGTTAAGCTGTAATACAATGTACATTTTTTGTATTAAACTGCAGTGATTAGCTGATGACAATGTATATTGTATGTATTAAACTGTATGTGTTTAGATGTATGGGTATTCATATTGTGTGGAGTAAAAGGATTAAATGCATGTGTTTAGTTCTATGACTATTATATATTCTCCATGACATTATATAATTGAACTTTAGGGTAGGGCAATACTGTTATATATAATTTGGAAAATTCTGGTTAGGGCTTCCTTCAAATACAGATGTGGATGACATTAGTAATAAAATAATAGAAATATCAGAACCAATTAGATCTCATAGAGCCAAAAGTACAGTTTTTTTATAAATACTGATCTCAAATATAAAAACTGAACTCGTATATTACACTGTTCTAATGTATATATAAATACAATACTCATATGTAAATACTGAACTCATATATAATACTCTTCTCATGTATATAAAAATACAATCCTCATATATACATACTGAACTCGTATATAATACTGCTCTCATGTATTTACAAACGCATTCCAATATTATTTCAGGCCAGCTCATTACAATTGTGGAAGAAAAATGGAATGCCTGCTGAGAAATTAAATTTAGGTATAGCTTTTTATGGTGTGTATGTTCATGTGGAGAACAAAACGCATTATTCTGACCGCATGAAAATTGTCCACGTTGGAAAGCCACTTTACACTTCACAGAGCGAGGGGTTGATATCATTTGGTCAGGTAAGCGTGTCTTCCGATGTGCTTTTTTTTCAAATACTTTTACAATGTGTAGTTCAATGATTAATAATATAGATAACAACAAAGAAATCTTCGTTTTTTGTATTGGCTTTTAAAATTATTCCTGGTTTTATTTGTGACGCTTATTTCATAGATAAATACACACATATTTCATTCTAGATTTTCATAGTTTTATAATATTTAAAAAAACAAACAAAGAAAGACAGTGCGCTTTGGTTTAAATTTATCAAGGGCAAGTTGTGAATCTATTTTAGAGTATCTAAAACGAGTTTTTTGGGTTGATTTGATGGCAAGAGAACGAGTTTGGGGTATTAGTGTTTGTTGACTGGCTGATCAATTTGTATAAACTGATATATCAATAATTAATTCGATTTTATTAGTTAAATAAAGACTGTTATGTAGCACAATTTCCTGTGCGTGAACTTTCATCGACCTCGCAGTACACTCCTAGCAGACAGTAACGTCTGTTGTGGGCGTGGTTAAATCTCTTTGATGTATCTTGTTTACAATCGGCTTCCAATGACACATTGCGTAGTTGTCTCCTGGTATCTTCTCGAATGTGCTCCTTAACCCGAGATATGTAAACAACACGTCCAAAGTCCTACGCTACATGTATATAAAGGATTGACAGATACGAAGAGAGGAGATTCAGATATATATTAATTTTACGAGGCGTGTATTATTCCTTGTGTATTGTTTTTTGTGTATTTGTGTGCTCATACTCATATGTGTTTATTTCGCATTATTCATTGGTACATTATTCTATCTGTGTTAACTGTGTACCAGTACAAGATCTACCATACTGTAAGTTGAAGATTGTAATTATATTTTCTTTTCTTTTGTAATCATCTTAAGAATTAATAAATCTTATTAATTGTAGCTAGAAACTGTTTTGGGTCGTATCTTTAATATTGTTGATTCTATGGTATCGTCCTTTGTTAGGCACTGTTTACAACGAGCCAAATTAAAATTAAAATATGAGATTAATTTCTGCCAATACAAGTCAGTGCGTAACAAAGACAATTATTTAAACTGATAAAATCTCATTGCAACGTCAAGATTAATTTAAATCAAAACCAAATGAACAGATTCAAAGCTGCAAACGCATTGTTGAAAGACAGTTTTCGTATTGCATTTAACCAAGTCGACATTGACATAATGATGTTTTGTGGTGTCTTGTCAGCTTGTACGCCGCGCATGAGTTTATTCAGCTAAATATTTTCCGCTTCATTGACGTATGTATTCTTAGTTGTGGTGTGCTGAAATTTGTAAGTGTCTGACTTAAAGTGGCTATATATGGAAATGTGGCCAAATTGAGCATTCACTTTATGTCATTCTGTTTCAACGGCTGTCTATGTTAGCTCTAACTCAGTTATGACATGGTGAATTTAATTCATGTATTAAATAAAATTACCAAACCGCTTGGATCATAAAGCTTTACTTTCTAGTTTGATCTGAGGTTTCCGTTTCAACAACTTTGTTTCATTACTAATAATTAGGGCTTAGCTGGGTTCAATCATTGTACTCCAATCCTATTTGAGGTATTTTATAACAATACGTGGCGTGTCTGAGTCTAGTACAGATATTGACTTATTATTAACAGTCAGTATCATCAGTCTTTGAGTATCATCAGTCATTCAGTCAGTATCATCAGTTAGTCAGTAACATCTCTCAGTTAGTCAGTATCATCAGTCAAAATACAGCGTCATTCAGTCAGTATCATGAGTCAGTCAGTAACATCAATCAGTTAGTAGCATCAATCAGTCAGTATCATCGGTCAAATGTATCAATATTCAGTCAGTAACATCAGGCAGTTAGAATCATCAATCAGTCATTATCATTAGTCAGTCAGTGTGATCAGTAAGTCAGTATTGGAAATGCAATATTAGTTGTAAATAGATAGGTCATGGTCATAATCAAAGGTATGCATCTTGTTAAAACAAAGAATTGCAGAAAATTAGCAACAACTATACAACATTTTGTTCAGATCTTTTAATGAAATTTAACCAACATTTTGTTTTGCATTAATCGCTATTCAAGTTTCTTTTATTTTTTTTTTAAAAAAACGTAAGCTAAAATGTACAGAACATTTTATTAAAACTGCGAAAAAAAAATTTATTATATGGACATGGTTCCGTATTTTGAAGGGTTTATTTCTTATCAGCACACGGCTTAGTCCCACCAAAATTGTTAGAGTAGGTTTATTTCTTACCACAACCCACTAAGTCCCACTTAAAATGTTAGATTTGGTTCATTTCTTATCAGGACCCAGCTTAGTCCCATTACAAATATTATATTAGGTTCCTTTCTTATCAGATTCAACTTAATCTCATTAAAATGTTCGATTAGGTTATTCCTTATCAGCCCTTATCAGCATTCGGCTTAAACCCCATAAAAAAAGTTAGATTGTGCTCATTTCTTATCAGTACCCGGCGCTGTTCTCAAAAAATGTTAGACTGGGATTATTTCTTATCAGAATTCCCAAAGTTCCACTAAAAATATTAGATTTGGTTCACTTCTTATCAGCACTCGGCTTAGTCCAACTAAAAATGTTAGTTTAGGTTATTTTCTTATAACGACCCGGCTTAGCACTAAGCCAAAAATGTTAGATAAGGTTTCTTTCTTATTGGAACACACTTAGTCCCACAAACAATTTTATATTAGTATAATTTATTATAACGGCCCGGATTAGCCCTAATAAAATTTTTGATTAGGTTCCTTTCTTATCAGAACCAAACTAGTCTTACTAAAAATGTTAGTTTAGTTTAATTCCTATCACGACACGGCTTAGCCCTAATAAATTATAGATTGCGAACATTTCTAATCAGAAACAACTAAGTCCCACCAAAAATGTTAGATTTGTTTATTTCCTATCAGCACTAGGATTATTCCCAATACAAATGTTAGATTAGGTTAATTTCTTATCAGCGACCGGCTTATTCCCACTAAAAATCTTAGATTGAAAAAATTTCTTATGAGCGCTTAGCTTAAATCCATTAAAAAATTTATTTGGCTCATTTCTAATCAACATTCGGCTTAGTCCCACTAAAAATGTTATATTAGGTTAATTTCTTATTAGCACTCGGATTAGTCCCTCACAAAATGTTAGAATAGTTTAATACCTTATAACGACCAGGCTTTGCCCTAGTAAAATGTTAGATTAGGTTAATATTTTATCAGAAATCATTGAGCCCTTCTAAAAATTTTAGATAAGTTAAATGTCTTATCACTATCCGGAAGATTAGGTTCCTTTCTCATCAGAACCCTCTTAGTCCTACTAAAAATGTTAGATTGGGTTAATTTCTTATCAGAATCCAATTAGTCACACTAAAAATGTTAGATTAGGTTCATTTCTTATCAGAACCCAATTAGTCTCACTAAAAATGTAAGATTAGGTTCATTTCTTATCGGCGACCAGCTTATTCACACTAAAAATCTTAGATTGAAATAATTTCTTATGAGCGCTTGGCTTAAATCCATTAAAAAATTTATTTGGCTCATTTCTAATCAGCATTCGGCTTAGTCCCACTAAAAATGTTATATTAGGTTAATTTTTTATTAGCACTCGGATTAGTCCCACAAAAAATGATAGAATAGTTTAATACCTTATAAACGACCAGGCTTTGCCTTAATAAGATGTTAGATTAGGTTAATATCTTATCAGAAATCATATAGCCCTACTAAAAATTTTGGATAAGTTAAATGGCTTATCACGATCCGGCTTTGCCATAATAATACATAAGATTAGGTTCCTTTCTCATCAGAACCCTCTTAGTCCCTCTTAGTCCTACTAAAAAGGTTTGATTTGGTTCATTTCTGATCAGCAGAACTCAATTTGTCCTACTAAAAATGTTAGATTGGGTCTCATTTCTTTTCAGATCCCACTTAGTCCAACTAAAAATGTTAGAATAGGTTAATTTGTTATAACGACCCGGCTTAGCCCTAATAAGATGTTAGATTAGGTTCATTTCTTATCAGAACCCAATTAGTCTTACTAAAAATGTTAGATTGGGTTCATTTTTTATCATCACCCAGATTAGTCCCACTGAAAATGTTACATTATTTTCATTTCTTATCAGAACACACTTAGTCTTAAAAAAATGTTTATGTGTTTTTTTTTTTCTTATCCACACCCATCTTAGTCAAACTAAAAATGTAAGAAAAGGTTGCTTTCTTATCGGAACACACTTAGTTCTACTAAAAATGTTAGATAAGTCTAATTTATCATAAAGACCAGGATAAGCCCTAATGTTACATTAAGAAGTGGTGTCAGCGGGGCGAGTCCAGACTCTTATGCCCCCCCCCCCAAATTACCCCTCCCCGGTCTGACGTACCGGGCGGCGGAGTGGCCCGTTGGAGATGCCCACTCGTCAGGACGGCTACCACACGGGGCCCTCCCCCAAGTCCCCCACCTGGGCGCCTGGGCACTCGACCAGGACCCCGCCTGGGTTCACCCCAACCAGGAGGCACCCGTTCGATCCGACACTATGCGTTTAAATAGTGCACTCGATCGACTTTCTCAAGAGTTGGGATGAAAAATTTACGTCCTAATATCTTCCCCCACCCATCCCGGGAAAGCGTCGGACGCCCTATAAGAGGGATTCCACAGTGGGCTTCCACAACGCGACTAGTTCACGCTGTAGCTGGGACGAAACGGTTGCCTAGGGGCAGCGTTCTCACGGCTGCATTATTTGAATCCTCGGCCAGAGGTTACCACCCTCGCCTCTGGCCTCATACCCGTCAACGGCAACTTGTAATCATGATCCCTACCCTGGCTCTGCCTAACTTTCCGACTGCGAAATATCACAACCGGCAGCCCTGTGGGAGCTGTTTTATGTACGGCAGGTACCGAGCACACCCTTTGTCTGCCCACGCGGGGCGTGCCCAGTAGTTATGTTTCCAGGCAAACGCCGAGGGGGTCGGTGGCCGACGCTTCCTAATCGGCAAGCCACAGCAGACTTGTCAACCGGAAACCTGGAACGATAAGCCCTAATAAACTTTTTTATTAGATTCCTTTCTTATCAGAGCAAACTTAGTCCACTAAAAATGTTAGATTAGTATAATTTCTTAAAATGACCCGGCTTAGCCCTCATAAATTGTTTGATTAGGTTTCTTTCTTATCAGAAACAACTTAGTCCTACTAAAAAGTTAGTTTAGTTTAATTTCTAATCATGACCCGGCTTAACCCTAATAAATTAAATGATAAGATTCCTTTCTTATCAGAACCATCTTAGTTCAACTAAAAATGTTAGATTAGGTTCATTTTTTATCAGAACCCACTTAGTTCCACTAAAAATGATAACTTTGTTTTTTTCTTATCAGCATCCGGCCTTGTCCCCAAAAATGTTAGATTTGGTTCATTTCTTATCATCACCCAGCTTATTTACACTAAATTTTTTAGGTTGGGTTCATATCTTATCAGCACTTGGGTTCAACCCATTAAAAAAGTTTCATTTGGTTCATTTCTAATCTGCACTCGGCTTATTCTTACTAAAAATATTATATTAGGTTAATTCCTTATAGCGACCAGGCTTTGCCCTAGTAAGATGTTAGATTAGGTTAATATCTTATCAGAAACAATTTAGCCCTTCTAAACATGTTAGATAAGGTAGATGTCTTATCACGATCCGGCTTAGCCCTAATAAAATATAAGATTAGGTTCTTTTCTTATCAGAACCATTTTAGTCCCTCTTAGTCCTACTAAAAAAGTTTGATTTGGTTCATTTCTGATCAGCATTCGGCTTAGTCCAACTAAAAATGTTAGACTAGTTTAATTTCTTATAACGACCTGGATTTCCCTAGTAAAATGGTAGGCAAGGTTAATTTCTTTTCAGAAACCATTTAGCCATTCTAAACATGTCAGATAAGGTAAATGTCTTATCACGGCACAGCTTAGCCTTAATAAAATGTAAGATTTGGTTCATTTCTTATCAGCAATCGACTTAGTGCCGGTAAAAATGTAAAATTTGGTTCAATTTCTTATCAGCACTCGGCTTAAAGCAACTAAAAACATTAGATATGATTCATTTCTTATCAGCACACGGCTTAAAGCAACTAAAAATATTAGATATGATTCATTTCTTATCAGCACACGGCTTAAAGCAACTAAAAATATTAGATATGATTCATTTCTTATCAGCACTCGGCTTAAAGCAACTAAAAATATTAGATATGATTCATTTCTTATCAGCACTCGGCTTAAAGCAACTAAAAATATTATATATGATTCATTTCTTATCAGCACTCGGCTTAAAGCAACTAAAAATATTAGATATGATTCATTTCTTATCAGCACACGGCTTAAAGCAACTAAAAATATTAGATATGATTCATTTCTTATCAGCACTCGACTTAAAGCAACTAAAAATATTAGATATGATTCATTTCTTATCAGCACTCGGCTTAAAGCAACTAAAAATATTAGATATAATTCATTTCTTATCAGCACATGGCTTAAAGCAACTAAAAATATTAGATATGATTCATTTCTTATCAGCACACGGCTTAAAGCAACTAAAAATATTAGATATGATTCATTTCTTATCAGCACTCGGCTTAAAGCAACTAAAAATATTAGATATGATTCATTTCTTATCAGCACACGGCTTAAAGCAACTAAAAATATTAGATATGATTCATTTCTTATCAGCACTCGGCTTAAAGCAACTAAAAATATTAGATATGATTCATTTCTTATCAGCACTCGGCTTAAAGCAACTAAAAATATTAGATATAATTCATTTCTTATCAGCACACGGCTTAAAGCAACTAAAAATATTAGATATGATTCATTTCTTATCAGCACACGGCTTAAAGCAACTAAAAATATTAGATATGATTCATTTCTTATCAGCACACGGCTTAAAGCAACTAAAAATATTAGATATGATTCATTTCTTATCAGCACTCGGCTTAAAGCAACTAAAAATATTAGATATGATTCATTTCTTATCATCACTCGGCTTAAAACAACTAAAAATATTAGATATGATTCATTTCTTATCAGCACTCGGCTTAAAGCAACTAAAAATATTAGATATGATTCATTTCTTATCAGCACACGGCTTAGTCCTACAACAGTTTTTGAATTGGTTAATTTCTTGTCAGTACTCGACATAGTCCTAATAATTTTTTAGATTAGGTTCATTTCTTATCAGAATCATCTAAGCCATTTTTAAAATGTTAGATTAGTTTAATTTCTTATCACGACCCGGCTTAGCCCTAATAAAAAGTAAGATTAAGTTCCTTTCTTATTAGAACCAATTTAAACCTACTAAAAATGTTAGATTTGGTTTATTTCTTATCAGAACCCGGCTTATTTCCACTAAAAATGTTAGATTGTTTTTTTTTTATCATAAGCGCTCGGCTAAAACACACTAAAAAAGTTAGAAGTGGTACATTTCTTATCAGCAACCGGCTTAGTCCCAGTAAAAATGTTAGATTTGGTTAATTTCTTATCAGCACTTGGCTTAGTCCAATAAAAATGTTAGATTAAATTAATTTCTTATCACGACCCGGCTTTGCCCTAATAAGATGTTAGCTTAGATTCCTTTTTTTTGTCAGAACCAACTTAGTATTACTCAAAATTTTAGAATGCGTTCATTTCTTATCAGAACCCATATATTCCTACTAAAAATGTTAGATTTGGTTGATTTCTTATCAGCACTCGGATTAGTGTAACTAAAAATGTTAGATTAGTTTTATTTCTTATAACGACCCGGGTTAGCCCTAATAAAATGTAAGATTATTCCTTTCTTATTAGAACCCACTTTGTCCAACTAAAAATTTTAGATTAGGTTAACTTCTTATCAGAACCAAATTAGCCCTACTAAAAATGTTAGATTGGGTTCATTTCTTATCGGAACCCATTTAGTCCTACTAAAATGTTACAGTGGGTTAATTTTTCTATCACCACCCGACTTAGTCCAACTACAAATATTATATTATTTTCATTTCTTATCAGAACTCACTTTGTCCAACTAAAAATGTTCGACACGGTTTATTTCTTATCAGTACCCGGCTTAGTCCCTCTAAAAATGTTAGATTAGTTTCATTTCTTACAACGACCCGGATTAGCCTTAACAAAATGTTAGATTAGGCCCCTTTCTTATAAGAACTAACTTGGTCCTACTAAAATTTGTTTCATTTCTTAACAGCACTCGGCTTAGTCCCACTTAAAATGTTAGATAATTTAATTGATTATATCGACCCATTTAGCGCTAATAAAAATGTTAGATTTGGTTATTTTTTTATCACGACCCGGCTTAGACCTAATAAAATGAAAGATTATGTTCTTTTCTTATCAAAACCCACTTAGTCCTTCTAAAAATGTTAGATTGGGGTTATTTCTTATCAGAACCCACTTAGTCCTACTAAAAAATGTTACATTAAGTTAATTTGTAATAACGACCCAGCTTAGCCCAAATAAGATGTTAGATTAGGTTCATTTCTTATCTGAACCCAATTAGCCCTACAAAATATGTTAGATTAGTTTAATTTCTTATCACGACCGCCTAAGACCTATTAAAATGTAAGATTAGCTTTCTTTTCTTATCAGGACCCACTTAGTCCTACTCAAGTGTTAGATTGGGCTCACTTCTCATCAGCACCCAGCTTTGTCCCATTAAAAATGTTCTCTAGGTTTTTTTTAAAAGGCGTATGCTTATTAATCTAAAAAAAAAATAATATTTTTTTAAAGCAGTTAAAACTGTGGGGGTGGGGGGGGGATTCTTTCATTTTTAGGACCACTTCGCCTGTACTGTCACTTAATGACTAATTATTATGATTTTTTTTCCATTATTACCTTTATCGGCGCTTCCTTGGTGAATAGTTTGATGAATAGAAATATTAAAATAAAAAGTGGAATGTTTTGTATTTATTTTAACTGCCTTAACATTGATAATGGTAATTTACATAGTGAATAAAATAAACTAAAAAATTTCTATAAAACTTAGAGTATTAATATTAAAAAAATTAGAAAGTGGAGTTAATGAAAATTAATAAGTGTAGTATGAACCTTACGAATTGCCATTTTGGAGGCATGCCTTCAGAGGCGTTGGAGGTGGGTCGATCAATGAATCAAGGATAATAATTGAATTGTTATTTTTCGTTTGATTTTAATTAATATTCTTCCTTTTTTGTGTAACTTGTTTTTAATAATTTAATTAATAAGTGTCTTGTGTGATATTTTTTAATATAATTTAATTAGTATTTCATTAAATTTAATAAGTTAATTTTCAGTAAATCTCTTGAAATATTATACTACTGACGTGGATTAAAACACTTCGATAAAAATTATTGATATTCTATTTTTTTAAATTTTCAGATCTGCAAATTAATCTTTGATCAAAATAAAGTGCATAGAGATGAAAAACGACATGTTCCCTCTTACTTTAAAGATGGCCTGTGGTTGGGCTATGATGACCAATTGAGTGTTGCAGAAAAGGTAGATTTAATGCTTTATCTAGTTCTGGCCAGTTCAATCTCGTGGAGAATCTGTTTGTCTCATTGTGCAAAAAATTTCGGAATGTTGAGGCAATTTCGTACAATCTCTACCCAATCCACCTGTCAGAGCTTTCATAGCCCTATGTGACGAACTGTCTGTAACAAAACGTACAACCCATCTCTTAGTGTTTTTATAGTCCTATGTGAACAACTGTTTGTAACAGTGCTGTATGGGTCTCAAATTTATTCCAATCACAACCAACTATTTTCGGATTCCAATAGCTATTTTCATTCCTTGAGACTTTAGATTCACTTTGCTGGCAAAAGTACCGACCTCCCTAATGAGGAGCTATTCCCGTTTCATAGACAATGAAAATAAAATTGGACACCACCATCTATCAAATCCAAAGCTTTAGATTTGTATATAAGGAGCTCGGAACATGACGTCATGAACCTCGCTTCACCTCCACTCCAGAAATCTTATTTGTTTAAAAAGAATCACATATACTCTTTAAGCTACGCAGCCATACACATATCCTATCCTCATTAAACCAGCTGACAAAGTTGGAGCTTTTGTTGTATTGGACAAAAATCTGTACATCAAGGAGGCTTACATTTAACTTTAAGACAGTAATCTCTACCAACCGAGGACCCAACAATCCTATGAACAAACATAACGACATGGTAAAAGAGACTATCAAGGAAATGATTGCAGAATCGGCACTCCCCAAATCATCCTCTGCCTTACACATCTTCGATAGTGACCTCGGTAAGCCATGCTTCTACCTACTTCCCAAAATACACAAGTACTGTAAACCTGGCAGACCCATTGTATCAGCATGCTTTTGCTCCACCTTCCAAATCATCACTGCCAACTTACATTAAGGACACCAACCACGTTTTAAAACCGTCCAATCTATCATAATCCCTCCCGAAGAGAAACAGCATCTATTTGTTCTTGATGTATTTTCTCTTTACACTTCCAATCCGCACACTGAGGATCTCTTAGCTATAAAAAATTTTCTCGAGACTAAATCTCACTCATCTATACCCACAAACACCCTACTCCAATTGGCAGAACTGGTCCTAACCCTCAATTCATTCCGGTTTGGTGGCGAATTTTTCGACCAAAATCAACGGTGTTTCAATGGGAACTAAAACGGGACCCGGCAATGCATGCTTGTTCATAGAGCATTTCGAACACATGGTCGAAAGCAGCTTTACTAGACGCCTCACTGAATTCTATAAGAGATACATAGATGACGGTTTAGGGGTCACCACTATGGAGAGGAGTAAACTTGACCTTTTCATTAACTTTGTAGGCTATTTTCACCACTCCATTACATTCAAATCTCTTTTCTCTGAGACCACCGTTAATTTTTTGGACATTACAGTTACTCTTCACAAGTACAGCCTTCTCAACTTGGCCTAATTTAAGCCTACTGACGAATGAGGCCTTTTGGGACAAAGCATTTGAGATGATAGACTATATCAGATGTAGGTCTTACCCGGAAAGAAAACTTTCATCAGCCCTTCCAATGGCTAAGAATATTACCCGGAGCTGATGCCTTCAGGAATTGTCTCTCAACGAAAATATTGACCGGACCAAACTTATTATCACTTACCACCATCAAAATATTCTAGCTAATCTTATTTTCCTTAAAAAACACTCTATACTACTTGGAGACACAAACACACGGGAATTTTTCCCTTCCTCACCTCTCATTGTTTTCAGACTGGATGAAAATATGAGAGACCTTGCACGCAGTTGCATCAACGCTGCCCCCTCCCACTTTGGGACCAAGCCATGTGGTAGCGGCCGCTGTAACACTCGCCCTCTTTTGTCCAGACTCAACACATACGTTTCCCTTAGGGCAGTTTTTAGATACGCGACGGTTTCCTTTGTACTAGGCGTAATGTCATCTTCGCCATTGTCTACATCCGCAGTCAGATGTCGTACAAAGGGGAGACTGGAGGCGACTCTCTGACGAGTGTATCGAACACCTCAGTACCAATTCGCAAGATATAAAGTTTCCCGTCTCCAAACACTTCATTAGAACTGACCACCATGCCAAGGTGGACTTTTTAATATGTGCGATCGTAGCTAGCACAAACACACCAATCCCGGTGAATTTGGAACATAATCTTATCCTGACTAATGGCATACTAACACCACATTGTAAGGACGTTCTGTCTCTTTTCAAAGCTTTAACATAGCTCCGCCCCTGGACGTCTCAAAATTATCGCAGGGGACTTACTTCTCCTCTTTTCTTTCCCTTTTAAATCTCTCACCCACTTACTTTCTGTCACTATTCAATTGCTACCCTTTTGGATACTAATTCTAAGCTAAGTGCAATTTTTAAATTCTATTCTGGTTTTTTTCTGTTTTTTCGCTGACGAAGGCTACCTGCTGACACGTTCGTTGTTTTGTTGTGTTCCTTTTTTTTAGGTTTAACCTTACTTTGTTTTACGAAATTCATATTGTAACAATGCTAACAACTCATCTGTAATTGCTTTCATAGCCCTAGGTGATCAACTGTCTTTAACAACGCTAACAATCCACCTGACTGTGCTTTCATAGTACTATGTGACCACATGTCTGTTACAACAGTTACAACCCATCTGTCAGTTATTTCATATTATATCTGTTAAAAACACTTACAACCAATATTTTAGTTATTTCATAGCCCTATGTTACCATCTGTCTGTAACAAGGCTGACAAGCCATCTGTCAGTGCTTTCATAGCCCTATGTGACGAACTGTCTGTAACACTCTGAAAATCCATCTGACAGTGCTTTTCATAGCCTTTTGAGACCAACTGTCTGTAACAATGATGACAACCCATCTGTCGGTGCTTTCATAGTCCTATGTGACCAACTGTCTGCAACAACTCTGACAACCTATCTGTCGGTGCTTTCATAGCCCTATGTCACTATCTGTCTGAAACAAGGCTAACAACCCATCTGTCAGTGCTTTCATAGTCTTAAATATACGATTTCCCATTAAGAAACTACAATATATTGATATGTATTGAACATTAGATTAAAATTCTCTCATTGAGGGACGTACAAATTGTGTGCTTTGGCGTACCTAAGCAATTACTGCACTGATGGTTCTTTTCTAAGTCCTTATTACAAACTTTATATAGAATATCTGTGTTTGAGGGTATCCTTTAAAGTCAAACTACGTCACAAAATTGGAGGATGCATTTTAAGAATGTAACAATGTCTCACTTTGCTACACAATTAAATCCTTTATTTTAGTCCATAGATAATTCCTATTTTTAAATAAAAGTATTGAAACCTTTAATTCATTATTAGAATATTATATGACACACAGAATAAGTTTGTTTATATTTTTTTTACTGATATAAGTTTATGGCACGGCAGTGTTTCAGTTTAAAATGGTGCATGAAACTAAACAGTGAAAAATCATTTATCGTTACAACGGTATTCATCAAAAGATATGAATGATGATTTTAATTGCCCGTGTGTCTATAAAGAAATTAAATCTTTTTTAAAAATATCAAATGTTTTTTTCATGTATCATTCTGGTATAATACTAATTACTATATACATAAGACAATGTGTTTGTTTATACAAGATATGTTTCTACATGTATTTATTGATATTTATGAAACTTTGGATACATAAACTAAAGGGTCTGTAGAAGTGTTGTGATTATTTAATTGATATTCCGTTCATAGTTGTAGGTCAAAAGCTTTATTTTTTTCTTATATGGCTTACATAAATAAAATTACTAATAATGGCTAAATCTTGACAAAACTTTGAACAAATAAACTTGACAGTCTGTATTAAACCTGGACAATTTTGAAATCATAACACTCAATAAGGACAGGGCCAACGACACCTTAATTCATTTACCTTACACTTATTTTTCTAACAGTCTCTACGAATTTCCTTGAATGTTATGAAATCGTAACCCTCTATTTGAAGATATGTTTAAGGTTTCAGAAAGTTTCAATGAAATTTAGGAGGTTACACTATGTAATCTTAATAGCCAAGTTATACCAAAGCTATAAACATGTCTTAGTTTACAAAGCAACTTCAACTTAATTTCTGCATATTTTACAAAATTGGTACTATGACTTTCTTGATGACTTTTAAAATATCAGTTGATTTCAGACTAATTATGTCACATCTTTTTGTGCCTCGGGCCCAAAATTTTTTTTAAACAAAACGCTCCAGATTTGATTTTTTTGTCATGCGATTTTAAAATTACAATTTTTAATATAAATATGTTTGGTATGCAGTCTAAAATACTCACCTATGTTTTCTATTAAAATATTAAGTTATTTTGGTGACGGGATCACAATGGTGAAAATATGTAATGCAGCAACATTGCAAAGTATGTGGCCTGCTGCAGTAGATTGCACACTCCTGCTTAAAGGAATTGGCTTTATTTGATAAATTTGAAGAAAATAATTACAACATTTTTATAGAATAAAACTGATAGTTCTTTCATAGTAGTATGTGACCGTTTGTAACAATGATGCCAATCCATCTGTCAGTGCTTTCATAGTCCTAATATTAAAGATTTTCTTGCCTTAAATTGACACACATAAAACTAACTTTTGATTTTCCAAATGAAGGCAACATATGCAATGGAAAACGGCCATGGTGTTTGGGTAGAAAATGTGCAAAACGATGATCATAATGACAGTGCATGTGACATGGGCAAGTATCCCTTGCTTAGGAGTGTTTTTTCTGGATGCAGTATGCAATCATCATGAGATATATTTTATTATACGCCATATTTTCTGAGACACACAAGTGTTCTCAATTTGTAATTTAAAAAAAAATAATTAAGTGAATAAAAAAATATTTAAGCAAAAGTTGTACAGACTTCTTTTTTCGTGGTTAGCAAACTTTCTTTTCTTCTTTTTGACCCACTTTCCGTCAAACCATCGAGCTGAAATTAGGCACTTAGCCTCGATTTTTGATGATAATACATTCTATAAAACAGTCAACTTCATTCAAAACCCCAAAAATCAGTTTTTCCTTTTTTTTCAATGGGGAGGTGAACGAATTAAGATGCCACAGATTCCTCGTGAACAAATGTGTTTGTGAGCCTTGTGGGGGAAAAGCACTAATTTTTTTTTCCTTTAAAAATTCGTTACATGTATGCATTAAAAACAAAAATTCAGCTCCAACACTTTGCTCAGTATTATGTTTGATATTTCTTTAATTTTTTTTGGTGAAAGCTATGCATATTTTATAGATTTCATTTAATCACGTGTTGTAATTTAAATATAAATATCTGTGTCAATTGGATCGTAATATTTTAGGCCATTGGATAAAAATTTAGTTCCTTGTAAGCAACTATTATTCTTCAATAAAAAAAATTGGTATGATATGACAAAAATCAATTATTCGATAAATCTTTCTGGCATTCTGGACATTGCAGATAATATCATTACGACGTTATAATCTACGCTAATGAAAATGTTAATGTGATTTTTCATTATTAGTGTTCTATTAATGTAGACACCCAGGTTTCGCACTTTTAAAGCAAAGTCAATCTCTATACATGAGAGAGTAAGGAATGGTGTGTTTTTTTAACAGATTTTAGCTTTTGAGCGGTAGCAATTGAGATTAGGTCGGTCTTATCATCCTTCAATTTGAGCGTGTTTATTTTCATTCAATGCTTAACTGACTCCACTGTTTTCTATGCCTGCAAGACGCAATCTCAAGCTCAAGACAAAAATTACATCTCCGAAGTGTAATTATTTGATTTTAATGATAAGTTCTCAACACTATTGTTTTTGTACAATATCGGTAAACAAAATATTTTAAGGTAGCCATCTTGTTGCTAGCCGGAAGTATAGTTAATGATAATCCTTGTCTTGTGAATTGACATTGATTGGGTAATGTGAATGGACTCTCGTATACGTTTCACACGTGTTGGTGTCTAGGGGTCTTAAGTTGTATGAAAGTCACACATTAAGAGACATAATCAACATACGAAGGTTTCAAGGGGAAAAGCAATGATGTCAGGCTTTGAGAGTTTTGAGAAAAATTGATAATAAATTTTGAATATTCCGCATGGAATTACCAAAATGTTAATATGTCTAAACATTAATTTACTTTTGAGCACGCATTTAGTCTATGTCCCATATTATTCTATTGAATGACATATAGCCACAGGGGATATAAGTTACAAATTTCGAAAAAAAATTACAGCACTGGTTTCTCAGGGTGGTAACAAAAGTGTGCGTCACAACAGTACAAATGGGAAAGTGTGCGTCACAACAGTACAAATGGGAAAGTGTGTGTCACAACATTTGAGAGTGACATTTTTCTATGGATGGAAGAGGACATAGAGCATTCTTGCTAGGACTTGTGTAACGATATTTTGTATAGAATGTGTAGCATTTCTGGATACGTTTTTATTCTGACCACTCAAGATTATTTGCTATGTATTTGTTTCACTGTCATGCATATGAAGCCAAAAAATAATAAGCATCGTTTGTTATGATACTTGAAACATTCAGCACATCAGCTCCTTGGGGGCTAGAAATAAAGGGGATCTACATCCTTAAAACTGTTCTGTGGCTATTACGTAGAGGACGGGACCTCTAGACAACGCACTTCACGCCACATTAATGTCTAATGGTCGTCTAACCTTGACGTCACATGCTGACTTGTTTTGATAGTGTCTCTCACTTCGTCCCACGGACTAGTGCAACTGATACCAAAATAATAAACACTGAAAAGTCTGTTGCACGCCATACGTTTATTACACATCATCACAAAATGGCGGAGTAATGTATACTGTACTCAAAATCCGATTCATTACACAAATCAAAGTACTTCTTAACAATGCATCCAGCCAAAGTACACAAGACAAAACAAGCTACACTGTGAATATCATTCAACTCTACCGCACAGCCATCAATACACTATGACAACAACGAAAATAACAAGTCATTTACCTTTAACTGAATACGTCAAAAAACTATCAACATAATATATACAGCAACACTTAACATCTTTTTCCATACTAAAGCTACCCTTAACATCTTTTTCCATACTAAAGCAACCCTTAACATCTTTTTCCAAAGTTTTTCTTTTTTTTTCCATCTGGTATATACACGAATAAATCAGAAGATTTTCCGACGCGAGAGCAGGCCACATACATCTGACCATGGGCGAAGCATGGGTTTTCCACATTTAGTCCGCAAACTTGTAGCGATTGTCCCTGTGCTTTGTAGATAGTCATTGTAGACGCGTGTCGCATCGGGAACTGTAGGCGTTTGAATTCAAATGGCATATCTGTTGGAATCATTGGGGTGAATGGCAAAGGTACATCACCTAGTTTAAATTTTCAATTTAAAATAGTAACTTCAATGGAACCAATTTCAGAAGATTCATTTGAACAAATGTACCGTACCTAATGCTTCGATATCAAAGTGCGTTTCTCGTTGCAAATCAAGAGCGAAAAGTTTGTTTGCAGATCAATTCCGAGAGGTCATTCCCAACTCACGAATCATCAATCGATATGTATAGTATTTCATGGCACTGTCTTTCTTATTCGAATTTCTTAATTTGATGTCAAAATGATATCCATCTTCTCCTTGCCAAAATAAAATATGATATTGCAATCAATCGTATTAGTTATGAGTTTCTGAGACTCGCTGAACATCCCCACTTCTGCGATGAAGAATTATATCACTTGAGTTAAATTCTTCACCAACTATAACGATTGCCACTTCATCAATTGTTGGTGCATTGTATTGTCTTTCATGTTGGCCGACAAGTTTTTAGTCTGCTCTAACTATGACTTTGTATTCATCAGTCAGCATCTTTTCAAGTGCAATTCTGAACATTTAAATTAATTCGTTGTGTTGCATTAATAACGTTTGCATTGCAGCGACGATTTCTCGTTTAGTGCCCGTATTGATATGACACCGTTGATCAAGTGTTCATTAGTATTCCCCATGAAATCATGTTAAGACATTTGTGATCTGTGTTTGGCATTGACATAAGAGATCATACACGATAGTAAAGTTGGCCTTGCACTTTACTTTAAATGTTGGCATGTAATTCTCGCGCACGATATTTGTTGCACCGAACGATGTCATTTGGAACATGAATTGCTTTTGCGTATATTTGCCTAGAAATGTTTCGATTGGCTATTGTCACCTGATACCAACGTTGATAATGGTTCCGATGGTGAATGTAATTCTGGCAATTTCATTTTCCCATCCACGCAGCAAATTCCCGGTGTTTCATTTTTAAATTTGAGGGTACTGCAATACACGCATAATTGATTTATTGTTCAAATAAACCACACTTGGATTAAGACTGTAATCATAATTAGCATCGTAATGGAATGTACTAAGGTTTAATTCAGCGTGCAGTGTTCGTCTGGATCGAGCAGTGCGTACTTTATCGGAATCCAGACTTGTTTCTCGCTGCTCGAATGATTCAGACAAACGGGTTTCAGCATTGCTTACTCAGCGGGTTTTGAGTCTTGGTTTCTATTGCTCGACTGTTTCAGGTGAACGGTATTGAGCATTGCATACTCGAGTGGATTCTAGTCTTGCTTTCCGTTGCACAACAGTTTAGAAAGATTGGGACTACTTTTACTTTCGTGCTTGAGGTTTAGATAGACCCACAAATTTGTGTTTGGGTGGAATAATTGATTTGACAGCGAAATTATTGCTTTGTGACATCTGTTGTTAGCAATGGTATTTCCCAATTTACACAACTTGTTAGGTCAAAAACAAAATGAAATATCGCTGTTTGTATATGATTCAACTAATTTACAATTTCCTAACGCTCATAATTTTCACACGTTAGGATCTCCCATCTTTTTACATGAAAACCTCGCACAATAGGCACTTTCATTGTTGGCAGGAGAATTCCAGTTGTATAGTTTCACATTAATTTATAAATCGTAAATTCCAGCGGTAAAAAAATTACCATACTTAAATTACCATTTAATTACTTGAGAAACCATCGATTCATGTAAAATGTATTTACATAACACAAAACAACTCTGAAATTATAAGACTCTATTCAAGAAATACTCTTAGTTGAAAAAAAAACGCAATTTCGATGTCATTTCCGATTCTAAAATACGTCACAAAATTTAAGCTTATTTATACAAATAAAAAAATACTCTCTACACTAAAAATGCAAAAACGTGTTTTCTCTGCTTTACTACAAATGTGTAATTTGTTCAAGGACGGTTGTGTTGATAGCTCCGTTTTAAATTATATTGATCAAGCTCATTTAAGAAAATAAAACGAATTTAGGGTCCCAGCCCTAATTGGAATATTGTACAATGGATGTACTAAATTTGACAAATTTGCTGGCGTATTCAGCTCCATCCACACATGCAATAGCTCTGTTTGAAATTATAGTTATAAAGCTCTTAGAAGAAAATATGAAATTAGGGTCACTGGCCCAAACGGAATATTGTAAAATGTTTTTTTTAAATTTAGAAACATTTGCGGTAGTGTGCATTTCACTTGACCCAGTTTTATCACAATCGATTGAATGGTATAGAAATGCATACGATAATTATATAGATAATAGAAGTGTGGAAAACGAATTTAGGGCCAGTCGCCACAAATGGAAATTGTAGAATTGTTGTATTACTTCAGAAACCTACTTAAAATGTCACACACTCAATTTAGTATCACTATTTGTATTTGATTAAAAAGCTATCCATCCATGCATTAGCTCTGTTTGAAATTATAGTTGTATAGCTTATATAGAAAAAACGAACATTAGGACCCCTGGTTAAAAAACGGAACATTTTAAAATGGTTGTAATAATTTAAGAAACCTTTGCGGGCGT